TGAATGCCATTGCGAGCGACTTTCCTGAATGTCATTGCGAGCGAAGCGTGGCAATCTCGGCGCCATGGCAACGGCTCTGCCAAACACCGATGCGTTGCCCCGCGGCGGCCGCCGCGGGGCATTCCCCACGACGATAATCGCAATGCCTTGATGGAGCGCGGCGCCGTTGCGGTTTGTCGCGCGGCCCGATATACAATGCACTCCCGGACGAAACGCGCCGGGATTACTGGCGACCACCGGAGGTGTTCATGCCGGCCGAGAAAGGCATCATCCACACCGTATTGGGAAACGGCTCGGAAGGTTGGGATGGAGACGGCGGCCCGGCGATCGCCGCCGCCTGTCAGACTCCCTACGCCTGTGAGTTCGACCCCCAGGGGAACATGATCGTGTGCATGGGGCGCCATCACCGCATACGCCGCATGGATGCGCGCACCGGCATAGTCACGCTGATCGCCGGCACGGGAGAGCCGGGATACGCCGGCGATGGCGGCCCCGCCGTCGCTGCGGTCATCAACCAGCCCTACGGTCTGGCCATCGATGTCAACGGAGACCTGTACTTCTCGCAGCGGTTTGATCCGGCGGTGAGGAAAATCGACGGTCGTACCGGCATCATCTCCACCGTCGCCGGCACCGGCGAATTCGGGTACAGCGGGGATGGCGGTCCCGGCAACGCAGCCATGCTCCGGGAACCCAACGATGTTTTCCTGGATCGGCAGGGCGGCCTGCTGATTGCCGACATACAGGACCAGCGCATTCGCCGGGTGGACCTGGAGACCGGGATCATAGCCACCTTTGCCGGAACCGGAGAGATGTCCCGCGCCGGCGACGGAAAACCGGCTGCCGAAGCGAGCCTGATGGGTCCCCGGGCAGTTTGCATGGACGGCCGGGGGAACGTTTACGTGTCCGAGCGGGAGGGGAACGGGGTGCGGCAAATATCCCCGGATGGGGTGTTGCGCACGATTGCCGGGGCCGCGGCGGTGTTCGGTTACTCCGGCGACGGCGGCCCCGCGCTGGAGGCCACTGGGGAGCGCCCAAGGCCATGCGCTGCGACCTGAATGACAACATCATCGTGGTCGACTCGGACAACTCTGCGTGAGGCGAATCGACGCCCACACCGGCATCGTAACCACCATCGCCGGCGGCCGCGAGGGCAGCGGCGGCGACGGTGGCCCCGCCACGGAAGCCGGACTGATTCATCCCCACGGCTGCGGCATCAACGCGGAGGGCGACCTCTTTATCGCCGACACTCATAATCACCGCGTCCGCGTGGTTGGCCTGTGAGTGGCGTCCCGAGGAACGGGGAATTACGCGAATCACTGTGAACACATAGCGAGGACGGCAAAATCATGACTCCACTGGAAACCGGTGTCCAATTTCACCTGCCCACCTACGCCCACATTCCCCTGCCCCATCTGATCGAGCTGGCCGCGGAAGCGGAGGCCAAGGGCGTAGACCAGTTTTGGGTTACCGATAACCTGAGGAGCCGCCAGTCCTTCGTGGCCCTGGCGGCGATGGCCTGCCGCCTCAAGGTAAAGCTGGGCACCGCGGTCACCGTTCAGTATTTCCGCAACCCGGTCGATCTGGCCGACTCGATCGCCACCCTCACCGAGTTGATGGATGGGCGGGAATTGAGCATCGGGTTGGGCCGGGGCAATCCCCGGACGCCACAGCTCATCCGTACCCCGCGGCCGGTCAGCGTACTCCGGGAGACTGCCCAGAGCCTGCGGCTGCTGCTGGCCGGCGAGGCCGTCTGCTTCGCGGACTACCCCAGCCTCCTGGACTATTACCACTTCAACCCTTCCGGTACCTTCCAGCTGAATTTCAGCCCCGCGTCGCCGGTCCAACTCTACTGCGGCAGCAACGGCCCATTGGGGATGACAGTGGGCGGTGAAACCATGGATGGCCTGATATTCGGCGGCCACTATGTGGCGGCCCTCCGCACCGGCAGGGTGCCCGAATTGCTCGATGCCTTTGACTCCGCGTTGCCTCCGGAACGCCAGGAGAAGTGTGCTCCCAAGGTGGCCGAAATCAAGATTTCCCTGTCTCGAAACGCCGCGGCGGCCCGGGAGTTCGTCAAGGAAAGCGCCGGCCACCGGGTCCTGAACATGTACCGCCAGGGCTACTCACCGGAGGACATTGAGCGCTTGGGCGTGGCCTTGCCGGATGTCGAGCGGCTGCACCAGGCGGACCGGAGCGGCGCAACGGAGCAGGAGTTTGACGATCTGGTTACCGACTCCATGATCGACGCCATCTTCATCGCCGGGACGCCGGGGGACTGCCTGGAACGGATGCTGGAGGTTAGGGACACGGCCCGGGAGCAGGGCTTCGGACAGCTGATGTTCTCCGAGTTGGGCCCGGACGTGGACGAGGCCCTCACGCTGCTGTGCGACGAGGTGATGCCAGCCCTCTGATCAACGCCGGCGACCTTGGCGCGCCGATGCGGGAGCGGTTCACGCTATGCTGGCGTCTCTCCGTCGTTAGGTCCCAACCATGCTCCGGTCTCAGCATCGCGTCTACAACGGCTTCGCTCAATCGAGCAGAGCCGGCCGGCCAGGGTTTCCGCCAATTTGCCTATCGACTGCGGTAGCGTTCCACGTTGCCGGCGATCCGTTGTGCAGCGCAACGCGGTAGGACCCGCCGAGCTACACCCGTAGCCGGCGCAGCGTCGGCCGCCAGACCCCCAGCACAACCGCGATCGTCAGGTAAATGGCGGCTCCGCCCGAGAAGGCGGCGGTCCAGCTTATGTACTCCGCGACCAGCGTCATGGGATAGGACCCGATGAACATCAGCGCGGCGGAAACGTACCAGACGCTCATCACTCTGCCCTGAAACTCCGATGGCACGGAGAGTTGCAACACGGTCGTTCCCATGGGCACGATGCTGCCCATCCCGACCAGATACAAGATCGCCCACGTCACCCAGAACCAATGTGACCAGGCCAGGAAGAAAAGGGATATGCCGAACAGGAAGATGCAGGCCAGCAGCAGCCAGTTCTTATGCGGTGAGTTGCCCAACGACGCCATGATGAACGTGCCGGACAGGGACCCAATGCCCGCCCCGGTCATCAGCAGCCCGGCTCCGCCGGCGCCCGTGTCCAGCACCAGTTTGGCGAAGGCGGGCAGCAACTGGGCATAGGGCATTGCGAAGAAGCCGAAGGCGAACCCAATGCCGATGACGGTGAAAGTGACCGGGTTCGACCAGCAGTACCGCAGCCCGCCCCACAGTTCGGACAGGATGGTCGAGCGCTGATCCCGGGCCGGCTGTCGCACGCGCCGGACCATGAGCAGCGTTACCGTGCCGACGCAAAAGAGGCCGGTGGTCAGGTATAGCGCCGGGGCTATTCCGGCCAGTTCGATGACGCCTCCGGCCAGGGCCGGGCCCAGGATGCGTCCCGAGTTCATTACCGCCGAGTTCAGGACGACGGCGTTCATCAGGTCATCGCGGTCTACCAGATCCCGGACTATGGCCAGCCGAGCCGGGGTGTTGATGGCCTGGAGGGTGCCGAGGACGAAAGCCGCCGCGTAGACGTGCCACAGGACAATCAGCCCGGCGGTCTCCAGCACCGCTATCCCCAGGACCAGGAGCGCTACCAGGGACTGGGTCAACATCAGCAGACCGCGCCGGTCGAACCGGTCGGCGAAGGTGCCTCCGAACAGCACGAACCCCAGCGTGGGCATCCCGTAGAGGAAAATCATGAAGCCCATGCGGGAGGCGGAATCGGTCAGTTCCAGGACCAACCAGCCCAGGATCAGGAACTGCATCCCCCTGGCCCACGCCTGAGCGTTCGCGCCGATCCAGAACCAGCGGTAATCGCGGTGCCGCAGCGCGCGGAAGGTCTGGAGCCTGCGTCCGACGGCCAGAATCCGGGCCAACTATTTCACCAGCTCAGCCGTTTCAGGCTCCTGTTGGTGTGGTCGTTCGGCGTGATCGAGCCGGCGATTTTCACGGGCGTACCACCACTGTTTTTGTCCTGGGAAGCCGGCGGTGTCATGGTAACACCGGATCGCCACGTTTCCGAACCTTGTGCTTCGGCAGGTGCGGATCACGCGCCGCAACTGCCCTGCTCACCACTGCCAGCCGGTATCGCCGTACCCTGTCGACGCTGGCGTGGGTGCGGGCCTGGCTCATCCAGCGGCGGTGCTCCCATCCCGCCGCAAGAAGCGGCGGTGGTGGGAACCATCTGTCAGGCGTCGAGGTTGCGTGTCCTGACACCGACCGCGAGGAACCCTACTCGGAAAACGCCAGCCACCAGGCCAGCAATCCTACCCTGCCGCCACACCATCAGTCAGTATCACTCCCGAATCCAGCAGGGTTTGGTAGCGGCTCCCCAAGCCATGTTCTTCCAGAATCTCCCGGGCGTGCGAACCAGGTTTGGGAGCGGGTATGCCCGGGCGCACCGGGGTGCGCGACAGTCGCGGCGCGGGACCGCAGGTAGTCACCGGTCCCAGCTCGTCGTGCTCCCGGGTGATGCTAAGTCCGTGCGACTCCACCCAGGGGTCGGTCATCAGCTCCCTGACGTTGGTGACGACCCGCTGCGCGCCGATGCCGGCAGCGGCCAGTCGCTCCACCCAGAACGCCACGCTGTTTCCCTGGAACCGCTCTTCCAGCGACGAAGCCAGGGCATCCCCCCGAAGGGAGTCGATGCCGGAGAGCCCCTCCAAGCGTGACAGCCTTGACAGGGCCGATGTTGGTGCTCCAATAAACAACCAGCCGTCACTGGCCTGGTAGGCGCGATGCAACGGGCCGGTTCCCAGGGCGTCCTGCCCGCTGGTTTCATTCCACTGCTTACCCTCGTAAAGCTGCATGAAGGGCGATTGCAGCGTCATGGCGGTGTAGGCCAGGGCTGAGTCTATGTGCTGACCCTCTCCGGTGCGCTGCCGGTGCAACAGGGCCAGGGCCACCCCGTAGGCGCCCATGAAACCCGTGCCGTAGTCGTTCACCGGGTTGGGCTGCGACTCGGGCATACCGTCACCGCCGAAGCGACGGGTCATCCCGGCAGTGGCCTGTGCAAACCCCTCGTGACCGGGGCGCTCCGCCCAGGGGCCCATGTGCCCGTAGGCGTTCAATGAAGCGTAGACGATGTCGGGCTTGCGCTTTTTCACCGCTTCGTATCCCAGGCCCAGCCGCTCCAGGCTGCCGGCCCGGTAATTCTGGGCCACCACGTCGGCGTCCTCCAGCAACTTCCAGAAAACGTCGCGCCCCTCTTCGGATCTCAGGTCCAACAGGATACTGCGCTTGCCCCGGTTGATGTCATTATGCCGGGCCACGGTGGAGCCGCGTCTGGGGTTATCTATCTTGATAACATTGGCCCCGTACTCGGCCAGCGTCCGGCCCATGGTCGGGCCGGCCAGGATTATGCACAGGTCCAGCACCTTCACCCCATCAAGCGCGGAACTCATGTCAACGGCAGAACTGATGTCAAAGCCGGAACTCATGGTGTCCTGGTGCATCGCGGCCTCAGACGCCGGGCGCGGCCTCAACTCCGCGAGAATTTCTCCCCGATGCTGGTCGGGAGTGGGAGCCGGCCCGCGCACCCTGCCCGGTGTCAAAGACATCCGGGCGTTGATCCCCGGCTGTAGCATCTTGCCGTAGGTGGGGTCGTCAACTTCCACCATCATCTGGGAGGCCCGCGTGTGGGGATGGTCAAACCATTCGGCGCTGGTGCGGCACACCGCGCCCTCGCTGCCCGCCTCGGCGATCAGGTCTTCCCATTCCTGTGCGGTGCGAGACAGGAAGAGTTCCCGAATCCGCTGTTGCGCCTCAGCGTGGAATTGGGGGACGTCCAGGGGGCGGTCGAAGTCGGTGAGCCCCTCGTCATCCCACGATGTAATCCCGGCGGCCTCAACGAACTGCCGGAAGTTCTGGTTGCCGGAGCCGCCGAAGCGCACGTACTGGCCGTCGCTGCACTGGAAGATCCCGCCCCACAACTCTTGCAGCATCGGAATCGCCGGCGGAGCGTTGTGCACCCGCACTCCGAACCGCCCCAGGGACTGGAACATGCTGTCAAACAGGGGGACTTCTATTCGTTGCCCCACGCCGTCGCGCTCCCGGGCGTTCAGGGCGACGACGATGGCCACCACCGACTGGAACGCCCCATAGACCGAGGCGATGGGAATGGCGGTGTAGACCGGACGCGGGCTATCGGCGTTGGGCGGGCGGAAGGTGGCCGACGCCGCTCCCACAACCCCCTCGTAGGCCGGCATGGCCGCCCGGGGATCGTCCGACGCAAATCCCGGAATGGAGCAGTAAACCAGGCTGGGGTTGGCCCGAGTCATCTCCTCGGATCCCAATCCCAACCGCTCCATGGTCCCGGGCCGGAAGTTCTCGACCACCACATCGGCGCTCTGTATGATGGGACCGGGCAACGGCCGCGTCATCCGCCTGCTTGAGATCCAGGGTTATGCTCTTCTTGCCCCGGTTCCACGTCGAGTTGGCCGGGGTCTCCCAGCGGGGTCCGCCGGGAGGGTCAACCCGCACGACGTCGGCGCCCTGATCCGCCAGCAACATTCCTGCCAGGGGCCCGGAAATATACTGCCCGAAGTCAATTACCCGAATGTGTTCCAGTGCTCCTGCCATGTCTGAACCTTCCCCTTGAGTGTCTAAAATTGAGTGCCTAAAAGTTGGCTTCGTCGATTGTGCGCACGCTAACATTGCGGGTATGAGCGGTCAACCGCCGGCGGCGAAACATGGTGACGTCACATCCGTGACGACCGGGCCTTGCATCATCTCGCCGGGCGTCCCAAAATTGACCCTATCGGTATGGGTTACTATAATCGGCGGAGCCCGCAATAGTAGCGGGTCTTTGCCCAGGCAGCGGAAACCGCGACTGCTGGGTTCACTGCATACTTTAGGAGGATTTCCATGGTTCAACAGCAGGCAGCGGTGCTGAGCCCTGAGGCACTGCTTGAGGAGTTCCAGAAGAACGATGTCACCCACGTGGTGACCATTCCCGACAGCGAAACCAACTACCTGTACGAGTTGATGAAGGAGGAGCCCTGGCTGGACATAGTCCCGGCCTCCCGGGAAGGTGAGACCTTCGCCATCGCCCTGGGGCTGCTGGTCGCCGGCAAGACCCCGGTGGTTCTGATTCAGAACACCGGCATGATGGAATCGGGCGACTCCATCCGGGGTATGGTTCTGGACGCCGGGTTCCCGCTGGTAATGGTGGTGGGCTATCGTGGCTGGAACCGCCACGGTGTTATAACCGACTCGGCGGCACGCTATACCGAGCCGTTCCTCAACGCCTTTCGCATCAACTACTACCTGGTGGAGCAGGACGCCGACAGTGAGCGCATCTCCACGGCCTTCGCGGAGGCCAAGGCCACCAAGCGGCCGGTTGCTATCCTGGTCGGCGACGAATACCACGGGTTCAACCGCTAGACGGATAACCCTTGGCCAGAAATTATTGTTCCGTCGCCGCCCTGCCACCTGCGGTACGTCTTGTTGGGATGGGGCGGGGCACGGAGCAAGAAAAATCCACGTAACGGAGGCACAGAATGATTCATGCTGCGGACGTATTCCGAGTATTCCAGGAGCAACGGGGCGATGCCATCGTCATTCCCACCGGTACTTCCGGTCGCCACTGGCGGGAATTCAGCACCCAGGAGAGCCGGGACCTGAACCTCGGCGGCGCAATGGGCCAGACCACTTCGGCGGCCTTGGGCTTGGCCCTGGGACTGCCGGATGAAAAGGTGGTGCTGTTCGATTCCGAAGGCTCGCTGCTGATGAACATGGGAATACTGGCCACCATCGCCGGCAAGAAGCCCGAAAACTTCTGCCACATCCTGTTGGACAACGAGTGTTACGCCACCACTGGAGGGCAGCCGGTTCCCAACGCGCAGGAGATCAACTACGCCGGTGTGGCCAAGGAATCCGGTTATTCCTCCGCCTACAGCTTCGACGACCTGGAGGAGTTTGCCACCAACGTCGAGCAAATCATGCAGGATACCGGCCCGGTATTCGTCGCCATCAAGGTCGTGCCGGAGGTGGAGAACGAGCCAATAGGTATGCGGCAGCGTGTACCTACCCGCAGCCGCGCCGAGACCATCCGGGACTTGCAGTCGGAGTTGGGCATCAGCGCCGATTAGCGTCAGGGGTTGTCAGCGTTCCGGCGAAATGTCCGCTTGAACGTTCAGCAAAAGCGTCGCGCGTCTACGCCGGCATCGGATCCGATGCCGGCGTAGACCGATATGACCGGCGCGTGGTGGGCTAACGGCGCCGATGTACCGCCTTGCGGTGTCCCCGTGGAGACCCGAGGAACCCCTGAATGGGTCGCCATTTCCGTCAGCGGGCCGTCATTCCGGTTTGCGCCGGAATGACGGCCCCTAGGTTTTTAGATCCCGACCGGCGCCGGAATGACGTTGTTACGAGCTTCCCGCAATCATCACGTCGTTCCCGGAATCATCACGAAGGGTACTTGCCCAGCATCAGCCAGCCACCGCTGCTGGGGGTGGTGAAGGCGCACAGCGCAGTTTCCGCCCGCACGGTCACCTGGCGGTCGCCGGCGGTGCCCCGGAGTTGCTCGATGCCGTCGGTGTACATGGCGGTGCGGGTGCGACCGTTGCCCAGGTTGCCGCCGCTGGAGCTGAAGGGGTGGGGCCCCTTGACGCTGATGTCGCCGGAGTAAAAGGCAAGGGCGTCGCCCCGCTTGACCCCGTGCCACTGGAACCCCTCCAGGAAGAACTGGGTCATTATGGAGTAGCCGTCGTAGGGGTTGAAGATGTCCACGTCGGCGGGCACCAGACCGGCGCCTTCGTACATGCGCGCGGCCTGCCGGTCGGTCCACATCTCCACTTCGTCCAGGTCGGGCTGGGTGGTTCGGAACGGGAAGTTGTGCTGGGAATGGTTGAGCACGTAAACGGGCTGGGAATCCATATCCTGCGCCCGCTCTGCGGTGGTGAACACGTAGGCCGCCGAGGCGTTGACGGGACGGTCGCAGTCCCAGATGCGTAGCGGATTCAAGATTGGCCGGGAACCTATGTAGTCTTCCACCGATATGGGTTCGATGTTGTGGGTGGCGTTGTACCCCCAGGGGGTGAGGATCCCGTTCTTGTGCTGGTTGATGACAAAGGGGGCAAGGTCCTCATGTTCGCCGCCGTACCTCATCAAGTACTGGCGGTGGGGAAAGATGTTGATGAAATCGTTGCCGCCGTGGTTGCCCCACGGCACGGTCCACTGGCGTGCGCCACGGGCGTAGTCCTCGGCATTCTCGCCGCCTCGCCGGTAGCGGCCTTCCATGTTGCCCGTGGGATAGATGACCAGGCAGGTGGAGCAGACACCGTCGCCCACGGCCTGGGAGGCCATGCCCACCATCTCGCCGATGGTCGGCACCCCGGTGGGGGCAAATTTGACGTTGGTGAAGCCCATGGTGTTGATGAGCCACTGGGCGTTGATCAGCGTCAGGCCGTACTCTGAATCGTATGGCGGGTCGAAGTAGGGTCGGGGCGCCCACTGGGAGGCGGTACCCGCCGCTGCCGCCGGCGATGTGGCTGTCACAGCAGACGATGCCGTCCACCTGGTCAACGGTGACTCCGGCCTGCTCCATCGCCTTTTCGCAGGCCATTATGGTGTAAGCGCCCAGGGATTCATCCAGCTTCGTTTCGTCCCACCGCCGGTCCACCGGCGAATGGCCGTAGCCGACGACGGCCACCTTGCCCCGGTGTTCCCACACGCCTAGGCCGTCCCGGTCCCTGCGCCACTGGAAGTCATTGCTGCTGGTCATAGTCCGTCCTTTTGTCGCCTATCCACTGATCGCCTATCCATCGATCGCCTATCCGTTATCGCGTGTCCATGGATCAGCGCGAAGTTTCACCAATGGTTATTCCACCACCATCCACTCGTGTATCAACTGGCCGGGGGCCACTTCCTCGTAGGTAACCTCCACGGCCGCGCCCATCGGTACCTCGTAGGCCGGGACGCCCGGCAGGTTGGAGTAGAAGTTCACAGTGGGATCCTGGTCCAGCGTCACCAGGGCAAGATTGTAGGGCTGGTCGAGCATCCGACGGTTCAGGCGGCCGTCCTCGATGACGATGTAGGCGGCGATGTGGCCCTTGCCTGCTACCTCTTTCCACTCCAGCCCATCGGCGGACCCGCACGCCTGGCAGGACGCCTGGGGCGGGTACTGGAGCTTTTCGCAGGCGGTGCAGTTCTGGAGGACCAGACGCTGTTCGTTCACCGCGTCCCAGAAAGGCTGGCTGAGTTCATTGGGTACCGGGATTATCTTTGGCATTGCTTGTCTCCAACCATTTCTTTTCACGCAACTCCGTTACGGATCGCGCAACTCCATTACAGATCGCGCAACTCCATTACAGACCCAGATATGCGGGCGGCTGCGGCCCGTCCCATGCTCGCGGGTCGGAACCATATTGGTTCGGACCTGCTTGGCCCGTTTGACCAGCCAAATCAGATCCATACCATCGAACCTGCGCATATCGCCAACCCAAATATAGATTGCAGGCAAGTGTAGACATCCGCATCGGCCCAGGAGCCTTTGGAGCCAAGGGGCCTATGGAAATGTCCACACTACTGAGCATCAAGCTGACAATATTGGTGGCAAACACCCACCGTCAGAACTCGTCCCGGGCGGCGCGCCCGCTGAAGTCGGCATACTTGCGAATACCGGATCCTCACCGGATCCTGCCGGGTCATCATTGGCCGGCCCGGGGACATCTTCTGGCGGCATTGGTTGCTCCTGGGCGGATTTGCGTGCCGGCCATTTTACCCGCAAACCGGCGCTTCTTCCACTTGGGACTGACCGTGTAACTGTTCAGATTCGAGGTGGCCGCTCAACTCCTAAACCGTCATACCGACGCCAGCCGGTATCCAGCACATCCTTGCCGTGCTCACATTTCACGGGGCGCATGACCTCTGGGTTCCTACTTTCGCCGGAATGACGTGTCCCCCGACCGGGAATGACGTGTCCCCGACCAGGAAACCTAGTTCCGGAAAGGCGCTTATTCGCATCAGAACTTGGACCGTGATAGCATCGCAACCGGTCCAAACTATCGGGAGGTTCTCCATGAACATCACCAAGCGCATTGGCGAATACGTTACCGGCACCGACATCGAGGACTTCCCGCCCGATGCGATTGAAGCGGCCAAGGGAGCGATCATGGACTGCCTGGCCTGTATGTTGGCCGGCTCCCAGGAA